TCCAGCGCTGGCGGTCCTCCCGGGAGGAGGCGTCAGGCTGCAGCCAATGTCTAAGGAAGGTCAGGGGAGATTTGTATGGGAAAATGGAGGGACAGGTGTTGTCTGAACAGGAGGGATAAAAGACAATTCTAGAAAAAGGAACGGCACGTGCAAAGGCCCTGAGGACGAAAGGAATGTGGCGGCGTGCAGACTGAAACAGCCCAGTGTGGCTAACGGAGGGAGAGCGAGGCTGACACCGACGAGGCCGGCAGCACCCAGAACGGGCCAGTGGGTTCCCCGACCCCCACCTACTACCAGTCATGTCTGAAGAAAGGAGTCACAAGGCTCGTGAGTGAACTTCCAATTTTATTTCGTTAAGTCGACACTCACACAGTGCCGGTGCAACCCTTCCAGGCCAATATCTGGGACCCAGGGAGCCGGGCCTTAGTCTGGGTAGGGTGAGCGTGGCGAGGTTCTGAGGGAGAGCAGAGAGGGGGAGCAAGCGCGGCGGGGGGCGGGGAGCTGAGGACACGGGCAGGAGGCCCTGGGAGCAGGGCCGGGGCTGGAGCGCCCACGGCAAGGAGCAGGACTTCGCTCTGGGAAGCACGGGGAGATTCCAGCTAGGGAACGGCCTGCAGGCTGGGGTCAGCCTGGCCTCAGGCCTCCCGTGAGGCAAGGCCAGGACCGCAGCCAGGGCAGACGGGAGCAATGCCTCCCGGGGAGCATGGCGGGTTGGGCGAAGAGCTTCTGTCCAAGCCCTCGGATGTCCCCGGCAGCTGAGAAGACGCTGGGGCTGGTGGCCTCGGGGCCCAGGGCTGGACGGAGGACCCCAGTGTGCCTGGCCCTCCTGCAGGAACCAGGCTTAGAACCTCCGTCCTTGGCCTCCAGGGTCCCGGCTGCCTCTGGGCGCTCCGCAGCCCCTCGGCCTGCCCGCCAGCAGTGGGCGTGGCACGCGGCCGGCACTTCGGTGTGCGTTCTGCTGGGGACTGGTGTCCTCTGGGACACCGATCAAGAGATTTTCAAATTCCCCGCAGAATTTGTTATTTGACCTGTGATCTATGAGTAACTTGGAATGTGTTCTTTAGTTTCCAAAAGTTTGGGGATTTTATAGATGTATTTTTGGGGGGCAAAATGAGCTAGATACCCAGTTTTTATTGGTTTGTAATTTAATCCTATTGTGGTCAGAGAATCTGCTCTCATGATTTTCACCATGTGAAATGTATCAGGGCCTGTGTGGTCCAGTGTATGAACTAGCCTGAAGAATGTCCCGTATGCGCCAGGCACGATGGCTCACGCCTGTCATCCTAGCTAGTACTTTGGGATGGCGGAGGCAAGAGGATTGCCTGAGTCCAGGGGTTTGAGACCAGTCTGGGCAACTTGGCGAGACCTTGTCTCTACAATAAGTTGTTTTGTGTTTTTGTTTGTTTTTTTTTTGAGTTGGAGTCTCACTCTGTCGCCCAGACTGGAGTGCAGTGGCCA